CCAAATCAAGAAATCACTAATTCCGGGTCGAAAGTCAATGAATCTATCGATTTTTTTCTGTACACAGCGTATGAAATACCATAACTAACAACTATTATAGGCAAGAATTTTGTAAATTAGAAGAACAAAATTGTTGTTTAATTTTTTACTATTTGACCGCGCACTAATCAAGGATTCGAAGTGACTTATGATACATTGTAGAGGGTGTTACTGTCGAGATTTTCTTCATAAACAAAAATTGCAAAACTCTACGAACTAAAAAGATAAACACACATAATTTTTTTTTAATCAACTTAAGGTCCAAAGGCAAATATTAGATCTAATTTTATTTCTGTTGATAGCTTATGCTATAGCAAACAAGTTTTATAGATCTCTAAGACGTGGTCTCAATCAGATACAGTAAATCGTCACTTCGATAAATAGAGCTACTTTGTAATCTGTCGAGTGTCACAGGCAGCGCAGCGATTGGAGAGCAAGAGAGGAAATTCACGAAAAATATCGCTAAGTCAGACGTTATCTGTCTGGAAATGCCTCTCGACGAACTTAAATTGAACGAGTCAGAATGAAAGTTTCCATCTTTATTGGGAACGTAGTGCCTCCCCGTGTAACAGTGATTACATGTGAAGAAAACCTTGAACGCTGCTGTGTTCATCTAAAATACATTGCTTCAAGTCAACCTGGACTGAAATAAGTCAATACCGACAGACTTTTTGATCAAATCGCATTTTGGAATTGTCACTCCCAATTGTATACATTATTTTTTACGCGCGTATTGAGAATATAGTGAAAAACTCATTCATTAGTGCCAGTTCGTGAAATACTATTTTTCTCGCAAATGATCAAACCATAACCTAAGCGGCAAAGGCAAGGGCAGATTCTACGGGCGGTCCATGGGAAAACTACACGAGTATCCATTACCTTTTTGAAATCTGCTGAGGTGAACAGCTTATTAGCAAGTGACATATTTGTAACGTTAATAATCAATAAATATTCAAAACTACTGAACTGAAGCTCATGTACTTTACATCATTATAAAGGGAATTGAACGACCTTTAAAATAAGGTATCACTCGACCCCCCTTTCCATTTAAGATATTAGGGTTGGTGTCACCCCCGCCCAGGGGGCTGAACGTGTTAACGTGATTTTTTGCCAAACTTGTGTCCCCCTCGAAAACAAAATCGATGGGTCTGAGCGTTTTTCCAAAAAAAAAACTGAGCTGCCAGTAAATCCGTCTGTTTCGTTTTCGATGCGCCACCCTGTATAGGCACGTTTGGGGCTGTCTAGGTCTTGGACTGTGTTCAACCAGAGACGGCTTTTTCACGATATATACAAACCTATGCAGCTCTGATGGAAAGAAACATCGAGGACGATGGCGAAGTTCTGAGTGCACTCGCGGAGAATCAATAGGATCTTGAAGATGCTCATACCAAATTGATAACTGCATTATTCCTCTAGGAATGTATTAATTCCGATTTTTAAAATGCTGGGTTAACCTAGACACCACGCGACGCCTGATTTGGATACTAAGTCATATAGTTTTAGTACATCAACATGATACGTTTGGACGTATTAGGGGCCTGTGGGAGGGCAGGATGCTCGGTTATTCTAAAGCATTAGTATACTGTATATTTTCCTAAGAGCGTGCTTATTATTGCCTGACCTATAAAGGAAAGTTCCAACTTTGAATACACCCTGTATAGACAAACACAACATTCGTAGCTTCAAAATAACTTCCAATGCCAAGCCCCCAAATTTATAGGTAATGTTTATCTCGCACCTGTAAAATGTGGACATCGCCAGTTATGCCATAGCTTTGGTGCGAGCTTTCATATTTGAACTTTAAAAGCTATTTTTAGACACTTCTCGTAGTAGATAAAAGAAGTGATTCAACATCGAAAACACTCCATGAGGCAACCTAAAAGTCCTCCTGAAATCTTGAAGATAACACTCAAGTCCACCTCTAGACAAAGTGGAAACTTTCAAAGTAGTTGGGCGCTACTTTTGACGCACAATGTATTTTGGGTTTTTCAAAATATATAAAAGGTTAAATATATTGTGTAGAAATTGTCACCGCAACCCATTAAACTGGTGGTTTGAACGCCGGAGTGAGGTACTAGTATCTTTTCCATTTTAAATACATTTACCATTGTAAATAATAACCGAAACCGTATCATTTTCGGATATCGCATAATTTCAAATAGACCACAAGCTGCTCGTTTCGCTGAATCATTGTTATCGGGGTTGGCAATGTCATGCTATTGAATATGCATAAATGTATTTCGGCGCATGGAAAATATCAGATTTCACAGAAAAAATTGGTTGTTTTTACGCTTTTTTTTTCAGCCATACGGACTGTATTTATTACATATCCGGTGGCGTCACAGGGAGTGTACCACCCCGAATGCTATCTGGTTTGTGTAATCCGGAAAATCAGGGGATAGGAGCGAAGCTACAGGTCTAATCTCTTCATTATACGTGTATCATCAAGCCAGTGTTGCCGTTTATACTTCCCATGATCATTTTATATTCGCTAGTGCTGATTCGATACATTTATGACATAAAATGAACGATTTCGTCACGTCTATGACATAAAATGAACGATTTCGTAATAAAAGAATGAATCTAGCCGCAAATGGTTAACGACAGCATTGAAATAAAGAAGCGTATATTTCCCCGATCAAGCGTAATAATAATAATAAGGCATTTATTGCCCAACCATTTAGCATTTAGAGAGCAATCAATTTTACGCAGTCTAAGAGAAAGGCGCTTTAAGTAGAGAGAAAATAAACTACGAATTATAGTATAGTTTCTGATAATAAAGCCATGAGTGCGACACGCGTTACTATAATTTCACTGATGTATACTAAGTGACATATAAATCCGAACACCCAGTTTAAATGGTTTTATTTTAATAAAAGTTGGTGAATGTATTTATCATACTGTAAATAACAAGTGAAAAAATTTTCAGCCTTATCAGTTGGACATTCCGGTTTTTATACTGCTTTTTTTTAATTCACTAACGCTCTAAAAATGAATATTTCAGCCGTTGGCGGATTTTGGTTCTTGACATCCTTTACGATCGGTTACGATGCCTAGAGTACGGATACCTGTACGATTTCGTCAACTTAGTGAGTTTGATAGGGGCCGTATAGTGGGAATTCGGGAAGCTGGACTTTCTTTTCGGGCAATTGCCGTAGAACAACAGACCGTGAAGATCGCCTCCTAAGATTATTGGCCTTAAGGGACCGTTTCTCCACTACCAGGTCCATTGCAAATGAATGGTTTGCAGAACACGGAAGACCTATTGGCATGCGAAGTGTTTACCGACGAATGAGAAGTTTTGGCTTGTTTTCATACCGGCCACACTGGGTCCTCCCTTTAACTCGAGAACACCGACGTAATCGCCTTGAGTGGTGCAGACAACGGTCACTCTGGGATCAGGAATGGAACAGTATTGTCTTTAGTGACGAGTCTCGATTTTGTTTAGGCATGCACGATGGTCGTGCCAGGGTTAGAAGGCGACGTGGTGAAGGGAGGAATCCACAGTTTTTTATTGAAAGACATGTTCATCACACTGTTGCAGTTATGGTTTGGGGTGCTATAGCTTATGGTTCCAGGTCACCTTTAATCTTCATCAGAGGTAACATGAACGCGCAGCGTTATATCCACGAAGTTCTAGAACCCCATCTTTTACCCTATCTTGACTCCCTGGCAGATCCAACTTTCCAACAAGATAATGCCCGACCACATGTTGCAAGAGTCACAATAGACTTCTTTCAACATAATGATGTCACATTGTTACCATGGCCACCAAGATCTCCCGCCTTATCCCAATTGAGCACGTGTGTGATATGATGGGTAGGAGATTGCTCAATTTGCAACGTCCTCCTCAGACTCTAGAAGCACTTCGAGAGGAGTTGGTGGTTGCCTGGAATGAGATACCACAGGAGGATATTGACCACCTGATCAGAAGCATGCCTAGGCGCGTTGGAGAATGCGTAGCACATCAGGGTGCATCCACACATTATTATTTTATATATATTATTTTATTAAAAAAAAAACATTTAAACTGGGTGTTCGGATTTATATGTCACTTAGTATAGTTAAAGGTGCGCTGACAGTCGAAATACATAAAATATTCGATTTGCCGGTATTTCCTTCAGGCACGCTCATGGATAATATATGCAACAGCTTCAAAATATAAATAGAATACCACGTAGGGAAACTTTGTTCCTCATCATTCCACATTCCTTCTACTGTCGGTAAACTGCCTTATTTCACTCAGAAAAATAGCTACTATAGACATAGAGTGAACAAGTTTACTGTTTCGTGCTGTCTTTCAGCTGGAAGAAAGCTTTTCTACGCTTTTACCGTTCGGTTGGCTCAAGACAGATAAATAAAGCTTTGATTCCTCAAAAGATATCCAAGTACAGAGCGTCTAGAACTCCCAAAAGTACTACGACCAAGTATTTCTATTGAAAATGGAGCACCAAATGTGTATTATACCTGTACATACCTCATTAAGGTGCAACTGGTTTGTTTTGCTTGCTACGCGATCGATCTTTTTTTCTAATCAGCGATATTGACTCTTTCCGATGAGTATTCAAAGAGCACAGCTTACTCCAACACTCACTAAAAAATAAAATCCACACATGTACTGCTACAGTTTGAATCAAAGCAATACTCCTATTATTTTTGGGAAGAGATACCTCAAGGAGACGTAAATCACTTTCTGCGAAGCATCATCCGATTACCGGCTGGTCCAATACATGATTAGGGAAATCTATACAGCAATGCGTTGACTTCATACTTTAATCCCGACTTCCTCTTACTTATGTCTAACTGCATATAAACTTTCTTTCAAATCAAGAAATCAATTTATTATACTGAGTGTTCTATTTTCTTTGTAACTGAGTATATTATCCATGACATTAAAAAAATGTTCTGTGTAATTTGTTATAATTCTTCGGTAGCCATAATAATTTGCTGTTTTGTTTCAGTAATCACCACAAAAGTTAAGGGACATGAACAGTGTACAGCTCAACAACTGATGAGCTGTGCCAAACCTTTGTCTCTTCTCACAGACTCGGGTCTCACTTTCGTCTCCAGCAAGGCAGATCTAGACAAAATTTGTCCGTAAGTACTTATTTTTTATTTCTTAGTCGCAGAGTCGTAATCATCCATAACAAGGAAGTTATTATGTTGCACTACTTACGGCGGTCATAACATATCCTCACAAGTATGGTATAAGGGTACATCCACAAAGTTTTAAAAACATCGGAGGCTACGTCGTGCTACCTTTTCACTAGAGAATTTGGCAGTAGATACCGGAGTAAATTTAGCGCGCTGACGAGTGTTTTTTATGACACAGGAGTAGATTTAACAGATGGTCGGGATTGTTCCGGTATTTTATATGATGTCCAGAGTACCGGCAAATTACAAAATGTCCCGACAAATAAAACAAAAATTGTGTGTGTGACATGTATATGATAGGCTGCAAGACCTAAATTGGCGTTACATGATGCTTAAACGTGTGTGAAAATTTTCTAAAATGTGCATAGCTGCTAATATACTGCAGGTTCCCATGTAATCAAAACTGTTGATTTTCTGTTTAATATCACGGAAGCTTGGCGTCTTTGTATACTAATGTACTATTTATTGTTATTCATATTTTACACTATATTCATCACGTGTATATTTATTTTACTTTTGACGTGCCAATGAACACATCTGTATCTAACCGGTCAAAACAAACAAAAATTTTTTTTAACCAAAATAAGGTCATAAATTTAAATAAACCATATATAAATAAATTCATACGTAGAGGGAATATATACTAAGTGACATATAAATCCGAACACCCAGTTTAAATGGTTTTATTTTAATAAAATTTTGTATAAGTACTTAATGAAGCATAATAAGTAAATGATAAAAATTTCAAAATGATTGCACTGCTTTAAAGCCGTTTGACCTTTAATAATGTGTGGATGCACCCTGATGTGCTACGCATCCTCCAACGCGCCTAGGCATGCTTCTGATCAGGTGGTCAATGTCCTCCTGTCGTATCTTATTCCAGGCAACCACCAACTCCTCTCGAAGTGCTTCTAGAGTCTGAGGAGGACGTTGCAAATTGAGCAATCTCCTACCCATCATATCCCACACGTGCTCAATTGGGGATAAGTCGGGAGATCTTGGTGGCCATGGTAACAATGTGACATCATTATGTTTAAAGAAGTCTAGTGTGACTCTTGCAACATGTGGTCGGGCATTATCTTGTTGGAAAGTTGGATCTGCCAGGGTGTCAAGATAGGGTAAAAGATGGGGTTCTAGAACCGTGGTTATAACGCTGCGCGTTCATGTTACCTCTGATGAAGATTAAAGGTGACCTGGAACCATATGCTATAGCACCCCAAACCATAATTCCAACAGTGTGATGAACATGTCTTTCAACAAAAACTGTGGATTCCCCCTTTCACCACGTCGCCTTCTAACCCTGGCACGACCATCGTGCATGCCTAAACAAAATCGAGACTCGTCACTAAAGACAATACTGTTCCATTCCTGATCCCAGAGTGACCGTTGTCTGCACCACTCAAGGCGATTACGTCGGTGTTCACGAGTTAAAGGGAGGACCCAGTGTGGCCGGTATGAAAACAAGCCAAAACTTCTCATTCGTCGGTAAACACTTCGCATGCCAATAGGTCTTCCGTGATCTGCAAACCATTCATTTGCAATGGACCTGGTAGTGGAGAAACGGTCCCTTAAGGCCAATAATCTTAGGCGGTGATCTTCACGGTCTGTTGTTCTACGGCGGCGTCCAGTGCCCCTTGCTCTTTGCGTACGGCCTTCTCGAAGCCATGCCTGACAACACCTAACCACAGTGTCTACACTTCTTTACACTCTAACTCCAATTGCCCGAAAAGAAAGTCCAGCTTCCCGAAGTCCCACTATACGGCCCCTATCAAACTCACTAAGTTGACGAAATCGTACAGGTCTCCGTACTCTAGGCATCGTAACCGATCGTAAAGGATGTCAAGAACCAAAATCCGCCAACGTTGATTCTTTACTGCGGCTGAAATATTCATTTTTAGAGCGTTAGTGAATTAAAAAAAAGCAGTATAAAAACCGGAATGTCCAACTGATAAGGCTGAACATTTTTTCACTTGTTATCTACAGTAAGATAAATACATTCACCAACTTTTATTAAAATAAAACCATTTAAACTGGGTGTTCGGATTTATATGTCACTTAGTATACATGGCATTAATAAGAGATATAGAGAGACTTTTTCAATTCCACGCCACAGCACATCTCTTTTCAGAATGCATATATTTACAATGCGACCAAATCATATAATTGTTTAGACCGCAGTTTAAAAGAAACGAATTCATTACCCAAATTTAAGAAAAAAGTGAAAGAAGTTCTATTTGATCAGCAGCGAAATCTGTTGTAATCCATAAGTGGCCTCATGTTTTCCTTATGCCTTCACTTAGATTATACTTTATTCTGTGGTTATTGTATACAGGTATTAATTTTCAACAAATTTTCAGTTTTTATACATCTCGTATTGTTAAGGGGGTTAGATGGTAGAATAGACATATTATCTAAATCTCGCCTCCTGTAATAATATTACAAATAAAAAAGACGTTAATTATTATTATATATAATAATAATCACAGGGCTCTATTCTCACAGTACAACCCTGCCTTAGAGGAGTGAAAATACTTTCTTTTCCCTTTCTGCGCTTGACAAACAAGTTAGGTGGAGATTGAAACTTAATCTGAGCTTCATTTCAGGGGTCTAAATACACATACACGCCGATGCGGTCGTAACAAACCGACTCCTCCATCCACCGTATCACTCTAAAAATGCTTCCGACCTTTTCGTTCCAACAAAAACTTCCAAAGTGTAATTCTCCACGATGACATACACCGATAAAAGAGATAAAGGCCGCCCTTTCTGCGCTTTTTGCAGTCTCTGAGTCCCATTTTGCATTCTGACAACTTACGCGAAAAAACTTCTCATTAAAGTTAGGACAATTCCCAGTTGGTTACACCGAAAGCCGGCGTTTTATAGCACAAGGAGATATAAAACGTTTGAACGGTGAAGTTTCGGCGACAGATCTACTGTATAATGAAGTCAATGAACAAAGATATTTTTGAAGAATCTACATTTCAAAGCTACCGTCAGAGCGGTCACTGGACCTTTCTGCTCTGGGTTAAAGTATTGTAAGCCAGCAGGTGCTTCAGGTCTGGTTACCCAGAGACCAAACAAAGTCAGGGAGAAAGAAGGGAAAGAAGAGGAAGAGCAACGAGTAGGAAGTGTGTCAAGTGGAGGTGCCTTGGTATTGTTAACTAGTAACGGGTGATTCATTAAGAGGTACTTTTTTGGTGTGGCTGTAATTGCTTATGGCGCATGCGTCATGGCAACTAATTTGACATTTTCTGTTTCAGTATTGTTCGACATTTCATCATGAAAAGACTTAGTCCAGCACAGCGTCTACAAATAATTCAGCTGTACTACGAAAATAAACGTTCTGCGAGAAGTGTGTTTCGTGCAGTTAGAGCAACTTATGCTGTACATAATCGGCCCACCGAACGCACAATTCTGCCGTACGGTCGAAAAATTTGAAACCCAATTTTCATTATTGGATAATACCCAAACAAATAGACCACATACAGCACGCAGTGAAGAAAATATAGCTGCGGTAGCTGAGAGTATACGTGAGGACCGTGAAGAATCGAATCGGCGCCGTTCTCAACAGCTTGGCTTATCGTATTCAACAACTTGGCGTATTTTACGTAAGAATCTCAATTTGAAACCATACAAAATTCAACTCGTTCAAGAATTGAAGCCGGCCGACCTTCTAAAGCGTCATCGTTTCAGTCTTTAGGCTCTTGCACGGCTTGAAGAAGATCCGATGTTTTCGAGCAAAATTTTGTTTAGCGATGAGGCCCATTTTTGGCTTAACGGCTACGTTAATAAACAAAACTGTCGTATTTGGGGTGAAGAACAACCCGAAGTGATTTAAGAGCTGCCATTACATCCAGCAACGGTTTGGTGTGATTTATGGGCCGGTGGAATCATCGGTCCCTATTTTTTTGAAAATGAGGCCGGTCAGAACGTAACTGTGAATGGTGCTCGTTACGCGCCATGATATCGGATTATTTGCTGCCTGAAATTGAAGCCCGTAATCTCGATGACATTTGGTTCCAACACACAGCCCGTGCAACCATGGCTTTATTGCGAGAACATTTCGATGAACACTTAATTTCACGATTTGGACCAGTGAATTGGCCACCTAGACCATGTGATATCACACCTCTAGACTACGTTAAGTCCAAAGTCTACATTGATAAGCCCAATACGATTGAGGAATTAGAAGCCAACATTACGCAGGTCATTCGCCAAATTCCAGTCGAAATGCTCCAACATGTCATCGAAAATTGGAACTTTAGAATGGACCATCTCAACCGCAGTCAGGGCCAACATTTGAAAGAAATAATATTTAAAAAATGTCAAAAATAGTTCTTTTCTTTAATGAAAAAGATTTGACAAGAAAAAAGAATTTTGTTATTTTATTTTGTTGCTGAAAAAAGTACCTATAAATGAATCACCCATTATAAGTAATACACATGCTTCCTTAGTACTTCTTCTTACTACTTCTAATAGGTAAGTAGAAATTGGTTAAAATATCTTCCATCTTTAAACAAAATGGACCCTAGTTTTTGCGGCCAACCATACTGTTTTCATACAGTAGTTGCCGGTTCGCTAATTTTTCGGCGCTTTCCAGTAAACCTAACCTCACTTATTTTATACAAAGTCTACACTACCACGCCTATTAAATATCCGAAAACCCGGAAAAATTGAAAACTACGCACTTCCTGAAGAAAGGATTCAAAAAAGCTTTATTAGGTCGAAAAAGAAATTTGTCGATGACATCAAATATCTTAGAGGTGTACACGAATCTGTCTTAAAAAAGGTGGTTGCTGTTTAAATTTACAGAGTTGACCTCAAATTGCCTACGCATTGACTACGTTGAAACTAGACTATTAAAACATACGCGTAAACGCGCATGACTGAACGAACGTTAGCTGTCAGTCTCCCAAAGGACATTGCATGTTCCCAAGATAACA